GTGTAAGAATGTGTGTTTGAAAGTGAGAGTGCGTGTGTGTGCGCGCGCGCGCGTGCACGGGGGGCTTGAGTGTGTGTAGATGTGTGTCAGGGTTATGTGCATGTATATGTGTGCATGAACGTACGCGCACGAGAGAGTGTAACTGTGGAAAAGTATGTGAAAGTGTGCATGTAAAAGTGTGGGAGAGTGCACGTGTGTATGAAAGTGCGTGTAAGAGGGTTTGTGTGTTTGAAAGTGAGAGAGTGCATGTGCGTGTGGGTGGGTGTGCCATGGGGGTTTTGAGTGTGTGTAGACGCGTGTGTGTGTATGCGTGAAAGTATGTGCAAGAGAGAGAGTAACTGTAAAAGTGCATGCAAGTGTGTGTAAGAGTATGTGAAAGAGTGCATGTAAAAGTGTGAGTGAGAGAGTGCATGTGTGTATGAAAGTGCATGTAAAAGGGTTTGTGTGTTTGAAAGTGAGAGAGTTCATGTGTGTGAGTGGGTGGGTGTGCCATGGGGGTTTTGAGTGTGTGCGCCGGTGTGTGCAAACGTGTGTCTGTGCATGTGTCAGGGGGGCTGTGCATGTGTACATGTGTGTGTTTGAGCATCTGTGAGGGTATGTGTGCGTGTCTTTGTGTGCATGTACGTGTGCATGTCTATGCATGTGTGTCCCTGTGCGTGCAGCTCTGTCTGTGCCCACGTGCGTGCCATGTCCGCATGCATCTCCATGTTTGTTTGTGCAGGCCTGTGTGCGCTCACCTGTGCGTGCACATGTGTGCGTGCATGTGGGGAGGACCAGGCCTGGGACGGGGTTAGTCTGAGCCCGGCAGGTGGGAGCGGGACAAGAAAAGGCCGGAGGCTCTGCTGGGCCAGGCGGAGGGGAGCCAAGTTTCTTCAGCTGTGGGCTGTGCCCTGCCAAGGGCACGCGCGTGTGCACGGTGCCACAGGGCCTCCGCAATGCTTCGCCACCTCCTTCCTCACGGGGGGGAAGCCTGAGAGCCCATGCCCGCCGTGGAGGGATGCCCATGGACCACCCCCATGCCCGTGCGATGGGATTTATTTAGCTTGGATTGGCCTCGCACTTGAGCGTGTTGGTGGCATCTCGGTGGCTCTTGTCAGAGGCCCGCACGTCCCTCAGCGCTGCCCTGGATGGGCTCTTCCCATCCCCTTCCCCACCCTGCCCAGGAGCACAGCTGGCGGGGGCAGCCCCCTGCACAGCTGGATGGGGGGTCAGCGGAGGGAAGCTTTCCCAGGCAGCTGAAGACCTTGAACTTGCCCATTTTCCCAAAGCAGAAGTTCGGCCTTTTGGTAACTTCCGTGTCCATCCAAACCCAAAGCCCTGGGTCCCCTCGGCGGCTCTGCCTGCCTCGCCCCCTGACCCGCAGCCACCATTTCCTGGGTCCAGGCGGGAAGAAGAGAGGAGCGCCAGTTCTCCTTTGGGGATCCCCATTGCAGTAAAACTGGGAACTGCAACAGAGAACTGGTCCCCGGTGCTTGACCCAGCTCCCCACCACATCCCCTTAGTGCCTCAGTTTCTTCTTTGCTTCTGAAAAACGGCGCTAACTATTTACCAGCAATTCATTGAGATCCTCCTACGGAAAATGAAAGAAATCTGCTTTCTAGGCAGTGCAAGAGCGAGGTTGTAGCCGCAATGGTGCAGAATGGATGCAGGGCTTTCTGAGGGTGATTTCTTTTGTAGGGCCAGCTGCAGAGTTGGGATCAAGTTGGGCTTGTTCGGTGGTACTCGGTTGTGAGGTTTTTTCAGCGCGAGCTGTGGAGGTGCTGAATTGCGGTCCTGCGCAGCTGGACTCTGTTATGGGGCACTTGGTTGCAGGAAAGGCCGGAGCGGTGTGTTTTCATGGAGTCCTTTGGACATAACGCCTAGTCCAGCAACCCTCAACCGGGGTCCCTGGAGATCCTATTAAGGGGGTCACCCAATATGAGCACTGTGAAGTGTGCAGACACGAGGCAAACTCATAGATTTCAACTAGCAATCCACCGTGTAAAACCACCCTCCCCTGTTGCGGCCTTGAGTTTTTTGCTACAGAAAAGCACCTTTTCATATTTTTCTGTAGTAAAAAAAAAAAAGCCGAGTTCCCAAGGGGAGGGGGCCTCAAAAGGCTGAGAAACACCCGTCTCTTCCTTGACTGCTTGTGGTCAGAGGGACCCCCCAAAAGAGTAGGTGGCCTGCAAGACCCCTCCCCGTGCTGCCTTGCTAAAAGCAGCACATGGGACATGAACGCGCCCATGTTTTTTGGAGGGTCTGGTTATTTTAAATTCCTTCGTGCCTTTACCGGCCCCAGCCCATGTTATCAGACACTGTTTTTCACTTTTCCCCTCCACCACTGTTTAAGGGCTGCCCGGAGAAACCGAAACAAGCCTGGAAGCAAAGTGCCTGCGGTTCCTGTCTCAATAACCCTGTCTGTGGCAATTGTAGCTAGGCCCAAACTTTCACTAAAGGAAAACAGGCACTTCTTTTGCAAGACCCCCTTTACTCCTTGTTTTGCAAGAGCCCGTGAAGTTTTGGACGTTTCACGTGTTTTCCTCCAGCAGTGGCTGATTCATTATCTTCGATACTGAGTCATCGGTCGCTGCTGGGCCGTTTAGCTTCGATCGAGTGGCTTCGATCCTTCGATTTTTTTTTTAACAGAACGGAGGGTTTTTCACTTCCTCCTTGGTTATGAATTGGCAAGAATGCCTTTGTAATGATCAGGCTGAATCTTTGATTTTCCTCCTTCAGTCCGAATTGCGGGGCTCTGGTCACCTGGGCTGTAAGAAATCACTGAGCAGTCGGGGTCTTTGCAAAATGAATTTTGGGGGCAGCCACCACAGCACGACACCCTGGCGTCCCACGTGTTCAGCTCCGAGGGTTTTCTTGCATGGTGGCGGCTGGTCCTCTGACCTGGGCAGAGCTAGATGCAGCGGGCCGCGAGCCTACGTTTGATACCAATGCGGGTCTCTGCGCAGGCGGTCCGACCTGAGCCCGTGATGGCTTCAGGTGGTGCCCAAAGCCCACCCAGCGCTGCTTGTTGCATTCGTGGAGGTCCTCTCCTCTGCGGAGGAAGGATGGTTCAGCAGTTGGGGCAGCATCTGAAGCCTTCAGGGACCGGGGTTCAGACCCTCAGTCCATCACAGCCTCCGTGCAACGAAGCCAGCCCTGCAGCCTCTCTGTCATCCCGTTGTCTCTGTGGTTTGCAGGGAGAAGGAGCTTGAATATTTCTGGCTTCTGTCACCCTGTAGACGAGGCAGACGTCTCGAAGGGGCTTCACCTGCCCCATGCGCGTTTCCCAACCCTCATCCCAGGGTTTTGTGTTGGAGGAGGGTCCCCACCACTGCCCCTCTGATCTCTGCTCTCTTTCCTAGGGCTGTCGCCGCGCGGGGACGTGGTCACCCCTCACTGGGTCCTGGGAGGACGCCACCGGCGAGCGGTCAGCGTGGCGGAGAAGGTGGGTGCAGCGGGGCAGAGGACACACGGGTGGGTTTCCCTTCCTCCCACGCACCAGCGGTCTGGGGGCGCAGGCGGGGATACTGTTGGGTGCCACCTTCATCCGTCGCCCGGCCGCGATCGCCTTGTCTTTGCGGCAGTTTGCAAGCAGCAAATGCGATCGAGCCCGGAGGGCATTTTCAGGGTGCAGGAGGACCTCAGATGCAGCATTGGGCACAGAGAGGAGTCTCGCATCTCCACCCCCTTGGCCCAGAAAGATGGGCAGGGTCCACAGCGCAGCAGCTGTGGCTGCCTGGAGGCCGGGGAGTGACTGCAAGAGGATTTCTTTGTCTCTCCTGTTTCTGTTTCCCTGGGAGGGGGGGACACCCAGAAAGCAGCAGCTGCTGCCAGCAGGCCTGTCTCTTCCATCTTGCTGGGATGGTTGAGGTTACCCCAGCTAAATCCCACCCGGGACAGGAGCAGGGGTGTGGGCGGATGCGGTGCCAGCTGCGTGCCCAGCTTCCCCGGCCTGGTGCCCATCATCTTAAGGGCTCCCAGGGCAGAGGCAGCGAAAAGCACGGGGCGTGGAGGCGGCTGTATAGTAAGCAGGTTGCACGGCGGGGAAGCCCAAGGCAGAAGGGGGTAGGTTTGTTGTTTGCCCAGCTCCCAGGGGAGATTCAGACAGCCCAGGCAAGCTGGAAGAGGTGCCAGGTGGCATGGAAATCGCAGCCTCTGCCTTCTGGGGCTTGCAGCTTTCATCCTGGACCGCCCTCCACCTCCCCCGGGATGTGATCCTCGCCCGCCCCTGCGGCGGGGTCAGCCAGCTCCCAGCTTGCCCATCCATCCCGAGCACCAGCGCTTTGGTGGGATCGGGGTCTCCCATGGTTGGCCCGTCGCGAGGGTTTGCTCCATTCCTAGTGAATGACGGGCCCGGGGGAGAGCAGCCAGCTCTATATATAGTGGAGCCGGGGAATGTGGGACAGCGGGGAGGTTTATTTATACGGCTGCCTCTATCCCTGCGCCGGGAGTCTCATCGGGGGGAGGGGAAGGCGCGATGCTGGGGGCAGACCGAGGCCCTCTGCAAGCCCCCGTCGCTGCCGGGGTAGTCGGGAGGGAGGGGAAAACCCCCTCTGCTCGTTTTCTGGCATCTGTTCTGCCTCAGCTGGCTCCAGACTTTGCAAGACGAGGGGGGTCTTGTTGTGGGGCCGGGAGGATGATGGGGGGGTGCCAGCTGATCCCCGAGGCTTCCTCTGCGGTCCTGTCGAGCCCCCTTTCCCCCGTGCCGTCCACCCTCCGGCCAAGCGGCTTGCGTGGGGTGCTCTAAATCCGCTTGTCTTTGAAGCTGGCCTTCGGTGCTGGCACAATCCCGGCCTGGCACCGTCCGGCGCATGGGCAGTGGAGCCAATAGGTCCCCCTGGCCCGTAGCGACTGGGCTCGGGGAGATGCCTCCCGTGGGAAGAGCAGGAGCGGTTGCCTCTTGGCAGGGGTGGGAAACTGCCGGCTGAGACGGGCGTCCCCCACGCGCCGCTGGCACTGGCTACCGTCGCTGCTTCCTCCCGCGCGGTCCAGGGATCGGGCTCAGTGGGTCAGTGGAAAAAGCTCCCTTCTCCCTGCCGGTGCAAATCGAGAGCTTGGCCCCACAGGGCACGACCAAAGTCTGATCTCTGCTGTAGACGGGGAGCAGGCTAGCCCAGTGCTTGCTCCTTCCTACGCCCTCTCCCTTAGAGCCAGGGACCCACCCTAAAATAACCCCCCTTTGGCCGCGGTTGCAGATGGACTTGAGCGACGCGGCCCCTTTCCCCCAGGCTTGCTGCGGCTGCTGATGAAGCTGGATGCGGGGCCCGAGCGGGGAGCCGGTGTCGTGCCCTGTGCGCGGCTGTAGGGCAGAGATCAGGGGAGTCTCCTCCAGCCATCGCCTTGTCTCTGGATCCGGCGCAGCATGGCCGAGCCCTCGGGCGGCCGGGCCGGTGATCTTTCAGCTTTTCCCGGGATCCCGCATTTCTCAGGGGGCCGGTTCGTGCCTCCTTTTCCAGTAAAGCTTCTGGCCGGCGCCATCCCAGCCCCGCTGGGAGACCCAGCGCTCGGGGCTCGGTGTAGCACACAGTCCCGCTGTGTGTGGCCCGGGCTGAGCTGCGTTTCTGCCCGGATGCCCCCAGCCTCTAATTGCAGCCCCCACCCCCGTCCAAACAGCAGGAGAGCAGAGGCGTCTGCCCCGGGGACCTTCCCAGCCAGCCAGAGCCTGTGCCCAGGGCACAGACCAGTCCCTCCCTGCAGTGGGCTAGATGCCCGGGGAAGGTGCGCGCTCTCCAGCCCTGCAGATGTTCGGGAAGAAGTAGGACGGCCCCTGGTCAGGGATGATCTAGGTGCCTAGGTTGGACTATGGGGACTTCCCAGGCTTCTGGGCTGTGCTGGTTGCGCCGTCCCACCTTTCTGCTACCTCCCTCGGAGGTATTGGGGCTGCGCCAAGGCTCCTGCTGGGACTTAAAGCTGGAGCTTCCTGGCTAGAGCATCTTGCCCCTCTGCTCAGGGTCAAACCGACCACGTGTGGGGGTCAGGGAGGAGTTTTACCCCACGGTCAGATCGGTACGGAGTTGGGCGGGGGCTTCCTCTGTAGCCGGGGCCTCTCGAGCGTGCATGAACAGCCTGTTATAGCAGCAGGATGTTGGCTGCTGCGGTTTCGCTGAGGCAGGTGTGGGTGTGATGTGTCAGGGTTGAATGTGTTGTTTTGCTGAGGGTGGAGATGATGTGTTTTTGTCTGGGCTGGTTTGGACGGGGCTGATCCTGCCTCGGGGCAGGGGTTTGGGTTAGATGTGACCTCTGCAGGCCCCTTCCCACCCCACTTCCAGACCCAGATGGGTTGCCCGCCACCCCGGAGAGGCGGGACAGAGAGATCCTACTTGCTGCTTCAGCATCTACAGGTGCAGCCCTGCAGGGAGCCACAGCCCCGGGACTCCCAGGTCGGCGCTGCTGGAGCTGGGCAGGAGCTTTCAGTATCCTCAGCCCCGGTCTCACCCTGCGGTGCATGCACGTGGCTTTTGAGTCTTGCCCATGTGTCTCACCTCCCTTGGCAATGCCCGGGCTGGCGTGCGTCTCAGCAGGGTGCTGCCCTGTGTGCTCCCGGGCCCAGGGCATCCCCGCAGACTGAGGTCCCGCCTGCTGGCCCAGGGATCCCCCTCCAGCAAGGGCCCGTTGGCAGTGCAGCAGCCGGGCGTAAGGAGCAGCATCTGCTTCTCCTTATGGCACACATGGAAGCGATTTCCAGATGCTTCCCCCCCCCACCCTCCGCTCCTTGCATCGGCAGGGCCCCACAGGGCAGGAGGGGCTCACGCGGCCCTGCCAGGAGCAGGTCAAGGGGCGTGGGGACCCTGGCTGCAAGCTGCTTCTCCTCTCCAGCCGCTGGTGGGGGTCTCCTCTTTGCACCCTCTCTGCATCGGGCTTCGGACCCTAGCGCAGACCCAGGAGGGTTTTGCATTGCAGTCAGGGGCCTGGGCATCCTCAGCCCTGCCTCTCTCCCTGGGACAAGCCGGCAGCCGGCAGAACGAGCCCGGGAGCCACGGGCTGGCCTGGCAGGCTCCATGCAGTGCAATGCCTTATAGCATGAGAGTCGTGTTCAGGCCCTGGCTGAGGATGGTGGGGCTGCAGGGACCGCAGCCAGGTGGGGTGCAGGGACCGTAGCAGAGCTGGGGAGCCCGGGGTGCACGTGCAAGGAGCGGGTGCTGGTCAGGAGAGTGGCGCCTTCTGTATCCTCCCCTTGTACCCCCATGAGCGCAGCTCTCCAGGGTCCCTTAGAGCTGAGACCTCAAAGCAGACCCCCGGTGTCTTTAGCCTCAATCTCTGGAGGAACTGGACTGAGCGGAGAGTCTGGGTCCTACGATCGGGGAGACCTTGGCCCTCGCCTGCCTGGATGCCAGGGGGGCTGTTGCTCGGATCCACGGGGCCTCAGTTCTCCTGTCCAACGGGGTCTGCGCCTGTTTATACCCCCAGCCTCGCTCCCTGGCTCCTTGCTTGGCTCTGAGCCTGCGTCCTTCCCAGGCGGGCTCTGCAAAGCCACGTGCTCAACCTGGCAGCTGCATTGCTCCTGGCACCGCAACGCGAGCAGAGGGTCCCAGATGCCAGGCGAGGCCACGGGAGTCATCTAGCCTGAGCTGCGGCATTGTGCAAACCCTAGGGTCTCCGTCTTTGTTGCTGTTGTAACGTGTCCTTTAGGGCTGGTCCGTGCTTAAACAGATCTCTGCGTGTGGACAGGCTTGGTGCTTATTTCCAAGGCTGGTTTCCCATCTACGCACGTAGGTGCAGGTGCATGGGCTGCTTTGCTGGGCCCTGCTGGCTTGGTCCCAGCTGCCCCAGGGCGTGGGCTCCCTGCGGGCGGGCGGATGTTTCTCGCATCCTGTTTCCTGAGATGAAGCCCTCCCTTGCTCGGTGCATCACCCAGCCAGCTGTGCCGTGGCCTGCTCTTACCAGCTGCCACCCCTCCGGCCTGGTGCAGGCCCTGGGAGGGAGGCGTAGGGTCTCGTCGCCTGCCTCCGAGGCCTTGTGACAGGAGCACGTGGTTCCCAGCCAAGCGAGCTTTGTGAACCAGTTCATGCCATGATGGAGAGGGCCACGTGCATAGGTGGGAGACCACTGCAGCAGCAGCCTTGGAAATGAGCGCATAGCCTGTCCACGCATGGAGATCTGTTTAAGCACGGACCGGGGTCCCAAGCAAGTTGTTTCCTCCCCTCCAGCACAACGCTGCCCTTCGATGTGCCTCAGTTTCCCCTTTTGGACACAGAAGGGAGAGATGAGCCCTCCCGAGAAGCGCTGTGAGGATGATTTCGTGGGTCTATGAGAGAACCTTACAAAAGTGCAAAAAAATTGCAGCTTGCCCAGCCCCTCGTGAACGCCGCGGGCTGAGTTTTGGTGGCGTCCGTCGTGCTGGACACGGATGCACTGCTCTGTGCCCTTAGCCTGGTGCCCGCGGCCCCTTCCAGTCCGGTGCCGGGCAGACCCAGGGTGCTCCTGGCCCCAAAAGTTATGAAGATGAGGCTGGGCAGCGGTAAGATGAGAGCAAACTTGGGGGCAGTTCTCAGCCGGTTCCTGCCTCGTGGATCCCTCCCAGGAGGGCAGCACACGGCTCATTCATGCAGCTTTCCAGCTAGGAAAGCCATCACGGCCTCTGCTTTATGCTGATACAGAGGCTTCTCGCCCAGGCCTCCGGGTTGCGTTTCACGGGGGGCACAGCTCCTCGGTGGGTGGCAGCAGGCTCGTTCCCAAGACGCAGCCGAGTCATCCCCACAGCAGCCCCATTTCACAGGAAGGCAAACTGAGGCAGGGGCGGGGGGCTGCCGTTGAGTCCAGGCGCGAGGGCGGGGGCGTGCGAGAGGAGCGGCGTTGGTGCTTGAAGAATGCAGTTTGCAATGAGCTGGCTGCCAAGAAGGCGCCGATGTGAACGGACGGTGTAATTGCTGGGGAATTTAAAGGAACGAGACTTCGCTGTGCAGGGGATGGAGCGGGGGGCGGGGGGGAGAAGGGAGGGGGCTGGGAAGAGAGATCCCGGACCGAAAC